AGTTAAATAAACAGAAAGACCCTTGAAACCTTGAGTTTTGTCTTAAAACTTGGTCAGAGAGCAACATGCAAAGAAACATCAGTGATTTTTATATATGTTCACTACAATTATGATCAATTCAATGTAAAAATTCAAATAAAGTTTGAGTAAGATGAAATACTGGTACATTTGTTTCACTTTTTGATTACCATACTTTCTGTGAGCAACCTATTGCTCTAGTTGATTTACATATAAAAATCCAGCATTAGTATGACCTATAGTATATACTTTCTCACTTTACATGTGAGGAAACTGAGGTACTGAAAAGTTAAGTAAATTTAAGCATGGTCACATAGCTAGGAGATGTGTTATGAGGCATTGAGCTAACTAAAAGTACACGTTCACATTGTTAGAAGTTCTTAGCTTGTACTTCCCCAAAGCTGAACAAAATAGACATTGACTCTAAGTAAACAGGGATAAGGCTACAGCTTCGTGGTATAGCACTTGCCTAGCACAACATGTACAGGGACCTAGATCCAAGCCCATTATCAAAGGGTGGGTGGATCTGAATACAAGTAATACTTCTGAAGTGTAATCTTCAAGAAAATCCCTTCCAAGATAGGCATAGTGGTGCACAGCTTTATTCCCAGTAATGGGATGGGGGTGGGGCTGAGGTAGGTGGATCATGAATTCACAGCCAGCCTGGAGGAGGAGGCAAGAATGAGAGTATATGTCTGGACAGGTTCAATCCCTAAGTGTTCTCTCCCTGTTACTTGCAACGAAATCATTCCCTTTAATCCTCTGTGTATAAAAATGTTAGACCTGTCCCCACCATCAGTCATGGCAGATTCCTGGCCTCCTATATGCACCCACTGTTACAGTCCAGAAAGTATGTGCAGACAGATCTTTTTTGAAGTTGAAGATAGTTTATTCAAGTCTATGTCTCCAACAAGTGAAAACCGTCCAGGACATAATAGCAGCTCATAGCACTTGTTTGTTAGGAACTTCACTTTTAATACACACTCTGTTCAAATGAGCTCAAAACTTAGTTAGTAGAAAATGGGAACAGATTTGATTTTAACTGCCACAGACACAAGGATCAACCAAATGTGATCAAGGCTGAAACCTCAAGGCTGGAGCCTAGGCTCAACTTCTACCCACAGCATCTCCCAGAAATGGCTACAGCCCCCTGTACTCCTCCTGGGAGTTTCTTCTGAGAGTGACTCCCTCTGCTGCTCCAGCTAAGCCATGACCTAAATCAGAAAAGTGCTATGTGCAGTTAAGGCCTAATGGAGCACATTTTCCCTATTGATGCTAATAAGAGAATACTGCACACATTAGAGGACAGTTATGTTTAAGTCTCAACAATAACCCTCAATAAGCAAAGAGGGATAGCTTAGGACAGCTCATGCCTACCTTATATCCTTATGGGGGTTGTTTGAAAATATATTGGTATGAATTCTGATGATGATCTGTTCCCAAGGTACAAAGACAGATACTTTAAATGATCCTTCCCTGTTAACTATGGCATTTGTTATAATGTAACAATTTCTTTTCTTTGTTTCATTGACAGAGTCTGGCTTTATTGTATAGGCTGGTTTTGAACTTACAATCCTTATGCCTCTGCATCCTTCAGTGAGAGTCTTATAGGAGTAAGCCACTACAATCTTCCATGATTCCTCTTTTATTTTTTAAAAACATGCTTGGAAAGTTTGTTCTCTGAAGGCTTTTAATAATTGTCTAAGTTAGAACACACAGAATTACTTGTCTAACAAAGGCCACCTTGCCTTATTGTAAATCTCAAAGTGAGGACATGAATTTGTCCCCCCACCATTGAGCAATATATGAGAGAATAACAGTCTAATCTAGTTGTCATAATAGTCCACTGTTAATGTGCAACACAGAAACATCCATAAAGTCCTGAAAGTATTCTTTCCTCCTCTCTGGGAGAAGTGTGTCACTTGTTGTCTGAACACAGCATCCATTACTGCAATGAGAATTATCTCTGACGTGTCTTCTGTCATTTTCTGGTCTGAATTTAGAGGTATTAGTACTCATAACACTAGTTCATGGCAATCACAGAGACATTATGTTTTATAAGGGTAGCAAAATAGGAGGCAATAATTCATGAACACACACACACACACACACACACACACACACACACATGCCTTGATCTTCCTAGTAAAACTCTTTCATTCTTGGAAGTCAGGAGCCCTGACAATTCCCTGGAGTGAAGCTTTCCCAGCAATCCTCAATGAAACAATTAGAGCCCATGCAGAGAGGGGAAAGTTGTTGCCTACAGCTTAGAGAATTTCCCAAGAACATGTTTAAAATGACTGCTGTCTGCCTTTAAACCGCAGTGGCAAAACTCATTCGCTCACAAATAATACTCCCTCTCTTCTGTCAGAAGCACGTTCCCTCCCGCCTCTCCTGGGCTGTTTTCCGCTAGATATATATTTATTTTCAAAAGCTTCTCATTTTCACCGTACTGTTCCAACAGATTGAAAACCTTCACGTCGTAAAGTACTGAATGACTGTGTTCTAATTGCATATGTACTTCCATTCATAAAAATAGTCCACTGGGGTCATAAAGGCATCAGGACTAACAAATGGCACCTTGAGGGTATGTGTGGGAGCTCCAGTGCAAAGTGAAGAGAAAGGAGACAGAGGAGGAAATGGAAGGCTGCCTACCAGACCATCTTACTGGGAATGACTCCCAAGAAGAAAGTGTTAACAGCAGGTCAGTAGTAAACAGGCCAGGCTAATGAGTAACAGCCACAGGGACAGTAGCTGATAGCAGACTTCTGTGCTTTACACTTCCTTTGATGTCTCACAGATAATGCAGGAAGGGCTGGTGCTCTGGAACATGGAGGATAACAAAGATAAAAGTAGGAGTCCTGCATCTCAGAGCACGTGATTTGAAGGGAAAAAAAAGTTATTCTGCCTGAACTAAAGTAGATGGAGAAAAACCACACCAAAAATCCCACACACACCCTGCCCAACCTGCCTTTCTTTTGCTAAGATCAAAATTAATCCTCAGCCTTTGCCTTGCCTGCTGTAGAGGAAGAAAAAGGGTGAGAGGCAGAGAGTAGCCCGATCCCCTTTCCCTTTAGCCTCTGTTTTCTTCTTTCAATATTAATCCACTTACAGTTCCCTGTTTGATTATCTCAATCGATCCTTCTCCTACCCAGTCTTTTTAATTTGGCTCTTGTAAGCTCTCCACAGGGATCCTGCCTCCTTTTGGCATCTTTGGGGACTTTAACTTGCCCTTTCCCAAAACCAATCCTTCACCCTGCCCCTCAACCCCAATGGCTTAGTCCTTTGTGCATCCAATAATGACAAGTAGTTCCAGCAGGAGTCACATAGCTGATTCCAGAACTGTTCATCAGGTTGCTCACTTAGGCTTCCTGAGATCCTCCTGTAAGCCTTCCTGGCTAGTGTCCTGAGAACTTCCGACCAGTTTCAAGAAGCATGGGCTTTCCAATACAGAGTCCCCTGAAAGTGGTCACATGTGCTCTGGGGTGTGCCTTGGAAAGCAGAGCTCACCCACGAGGATGGGAGGCATCAGTCCAAAAGGAAGGATTTATGAGCATGTCCACTCAGTCGCAGAGCAGGAAAAATGCACTCCTTAAGTACACACTACCTTGCTAATGACTTCTCTCCTGGAGCACTAGACTTGCCAGGGCTCAGGGCTCCCTTCTACCTTCATCACCCCTGTCCTACACCAGTGCCTTGAAATTTTAGGAGATGAAGTCTGCAGTTGGGAAAAAAAAAACAGTCTATGAACATCATCATTGGAGGAGCCAGGATTACTGCTTGACCTCCCCAGATCTCTAAATTCATAAAAGAAGTGAAACAAACCAGAGGTGTGTGTGTGTGTGTGTGTGTGTGTGTGTGTGCAAGATCTCTGAACTGCTTCTCAATCTCTGCCTCTCTCAAAACTCTGTTGCCTCGCGGCTACTAGGCATTAAATAAACAAACAAGCACATCCATCCATTTTTTAAATGGGCAAAGGATTCGGGTGGAAACTGGGCTTGGGTTAGATACATAGGAGACCCGAGATACGCCAGGAAGGGCAATATGCCTTTTTTCTCTGCCTTTCTTTTATGCCCTTTCAGACTGAAACGCTGGGAGCTGCAACACCCCTTAAAAGTCAATGAGCAAGAAGGGACCCCCCTCACAGGATGACTCTTGGTCTACATGTCTCCCCTCTGCCTTTCCACACTCCCAACTCTGGATCACTATCCTCCTAGCCAGGTTATGCTCAGGTAACTACACACTTACTTCAAGGTTCCCATGCGTTAAAATGTCACTTATAAACTGGTTAGCAGTGCCCCCTTTCCCGAGGAGTTGCAGACTTGGCTGGAACAACTAGAGTCTCCCACCAGGGTTGTGGGTTTCAAGTCTTTTTTCAAGGGTCGACTGGTGGGAGGGGGACACAGAGAGGTTGCTAGTGGAGAGGCAGGCACATCCGGAGCCTGTCCTTTCTGGGCGAATTGAACATCTCCATAGCGCCCCACCAGCGGGCTGGGGGCATCAGCGCCTATAGGTCCTTAGCAGCAATGGACACACTTCTTAGCTGAGATGCGGGAAGATCCTGCAATCCCAGCCACCGCACGCAGCGGGGAGTCTGCACACTGTGCATATCGGGGTGCATGTATGACACGACACACCACACCACCACTAGCCCGATCCAGAGCCTTTGGCAACCTCCTTGTGTACAATATTCAACAACGTGCGCATGTAGGGCTGAAAGTGCAAAAGACACTCCGGGATCCCACAGGCATAGAGGCAACGGCTACACTTTCACAGCCGGGGCTCATTCTCGAGAATCTCCGGAGCTAAGACTGAAAATCTGGTTTCTTAACTAGTTGGAAAAGTAGAATTTAAAGTGGTTTCCATTGAGGGCAATCAGGCAGACGAGGAAGGTAGGATCACCAGGGAGACGTAGAGGCTGAAAAGAGGGAAGGCAGAAAGAAGCAAAGGGAGGTGACCGCCGCGCCCCGTGGACCCCTTACCTTGAGCGGCCGAGCCGGTGCCACTGGCGCTGAGCAGGGCCAGGGCAGGTAACACAAGCATCTGCAGCAAGTATCCTAGTCCCAGTCCGCAGCGGGCCGCTGTAGCCCGCAGACCTTTCCTCATCGTCGGCAGAGGTGTGCGAGGAAGGGGAGCCACCGGGAGACGCGCAAACAGCAGAGAGCCCCGCCGGGCAGGAGGCTGAATCCGGCCACCACCAGGCAGTCCTGAGAAGTAAGAGCAGCCCGAGTGCCACACTCCACTTTCTCCAAGGGCAGGGGCCAGAGGGGGTGGAGAAGAGCCTCCTAGGAGGAGTTTGAAGGTCCCTCGTCCCCTGCGCCTAGCCACTGACGTCTCCCGCCTGGGAGTGCTCTGCCCCCACTCGGGAAATGCAGGGAGGCGCAGCGCGGCCACCACGGCCGCTCCCGCAGCTCCACCGCCAGCCGAGCGGGCGCTGCTCTTGGGTCCCCGCGCCCGCGGGGATCGCACAGGCGCCGAGGAGGGGAGGTGGCGAGAGTGGGAGGAGAGCCGAGCGGGCGAGGTGTTCCTGGCTCCTATCCTGGCGCTCCAGTGCTGGAGAGAGACGCCCCGGCTGCCGCCCGCCCCTCGACGGTCCGGTGACAGTCGTCTCCGGGAGAGGGGAGAGCGGGGGTCCTGGGAGGTGCTCGCAGAGAAGGCGTGGAGGGCGCGGCCCCACTCCGCGCGGAGAGGGGGGAGCGATGGCGAGAGCGCGCTCGCCCGCCCGCCTTATGTAAGCGAGGATGGAGTGAGACCCACGCCTCGCGTGGAAGGTGGAATCCTCGGGATTCAGGCGCTCACTCGCTCCAGTGCTGACAAGGGACACCTGGAAGCAGATGTTACCGTGGCCAGGGCCAGCGCAGCCTCCAGCCAGGCGCCAGACTCCTGCTCCTCCAGCGCTGCGGGCGCGCCTCAGGCCACTTGGCCCCGTCCAGTGGAGATCAGCCCACCGCCTGCCAGTGTCCCCGAGCCGGCCAAGCCTCAGCCAGACGCCCCAGGACTGCACTCGGCTAGGATTTGGGGAGTTGCGCTTGATTAAGCAGGAGGCGGGCTGGAACTTATTCTCAGAGATGCTAGAGAAGGCAAGAAGCATTTGCGGTGGCCCAGCCCCACTATCTACCGGTTGTCAGCGCCCGCCAGGCTGTTTTATGCTCTGCGAGCCTGTGACCTATTTGCGGTGGAACAAAAACTAAAAATCAATGGAAACTCCCTCGGTACTGCTTTCCTTTGCCTGTTCATCTTGTTGGCTGCTGAGATTGAGCGTGTAAAGGGTGCAGAGGCAAAACCAAGAGAAACTCCCAGAAAACAGGCAGAACAAATCTGTAGATACTCAACAAGATGTTGGAACCTGTGAATTAGTCTCCAAAAATCCTAAGAGCTATGAGTGAGGACTCTGCAACAATTCAGAAAGATTGGGGTGGGGGTAGTTAGGTGGTGATTACTGATGTAAGGATAAAGGAGGATAAAGGATAAATGAGTCAAATAAGGTCAGTCTAGACAAAAGGAAGGCGAATGTATGAACATACCAGTTATGCTCCACAAGATAGCGTTGTGTGAGAAAAGTCCATTTTTAAGGTTAGTGCATTTCAAAATTAACACTTTATCGTGTAATAGTTAAGTTCAAAGTGGAAAAGGAACCACGAGTAAACACGTATTCACACTGGAGGGGGCAGGAAGGAAGGAGGGGCAGAGAAAATGTGAATTTCAAGTCTAATTTGAACCATAGTCATAAATCTGTTGAGGTGAGCAGGCCAGGCAACTTTTGCATATCTTGATTTCTTTTTCTAAAATACTCTCCTCGAGCTTTTGCTAATGACTCATGATTTTGCTTGCCCAGTTCCATTGAAACCTCTACCCATTGTGTATGCTTTGGATAAATTTCATAGGTTGGGAGGGACACTGACAAAATTAGCCCCCTTTTATTTCCATGGAGACTCTGCCTGCCGCTTTAAAATCGCTTAATTTTCTTTAGCTTCCCCACGTGGCCACATCACCAAATTTAGGTAAGAGGTCACGGTCACCTGCTGGTGCCAGATGGGAGGATCAACCTACAATGATTTTTAACTGGATGACATCGGCCCAAAAGGCCACGTGTCTACTGGAAGTGATGATATGTAAGTTTTTGTGAGGTTTGAATGAGTTAAATATAGGTAAAAAGCCTAGCATAGAGTCATTGTTGATAGTTCTTTGGTATAGAAGATTCTCAGCTTTTCTTTCTACCTCAGACAGTTCTCTTAACCGGAGAAAGTTAAGGTTGAGAGTACGTTTGTGTCTGTGTTCTCCAAAATTGTAGTTATTGGTTCACACACCTACCAGGATACTACAAGTGTGCCTTCTGTGAAATGGCAGTTTTAACTTTTTTTTTTTTTTTTTGGTTTTTCGAGACAGGGTTTCTCTGTATTGTTTTTGAGGCTGTCCTGGAACTCGCTCTGTAGACCAGGCTGGTCTTGAACTCACAGAGATTTGCCTGCCTCTGCCTCCGGAGTGCTGGAGTTAAAGGCTTGCTCCACCAACTCCAGGTGTAGTTTCAACTTTTATGTCGCTAGTCATTTGAATGTTAACAGATATCTGGAGATGTTGATTACCATGGTGAATGGTGCTGATAACCTGTAAGGGTCCTGAATCGTACCACCAGAAGGGACTACTATTAATCTTACTGGTTGTCTTTATCATTTTCCCTAAGGATAAGAGCTTGAAGTTCATGAGAGAAACCTCTTTGCCAACTCAGTGCTGTGTAAAGAAGACTCCAAAAGTTGTAAAGTGTTAGGTGTGTTTTTCATCCCAACACTCTAGAGGCAGAAGCAAGAGAATCTCTGTAAGTTTGAGACCAGCCTGGTCTACAGTGGGAGCTCTAGGATAGCCAGGGCTATATAGAAAGAACCTGTCTCAAACAATGACGTAACTGTAAAGTTATTCATTTATTCTTTATTCCCTTCCTTTGGCTGTCTTCCCCAAGCAGAACTTAATTCATTTGAAGAAGACACCTTGTCTAGTGAATCTTTCCATCCCAAAATCCTTAGCACAGAATATGATCTTTAGTTGATATTCAGACAGGGGTGGTTGACTGGAAGTTCACATGGTCATCAAAATCTAGGGCAGCTGAGGAAGGTTAAAATGATCTCGTCCTCTTGATTGGGTCTTTGAAGCACTTGGCGGTCAATACTTCGTGAAATTAATTCTTTAAAGGCACCAGTAAGCAATAAGGCAAGAGAGAATAGTTCAATACTGAAATCCAGCCTACAGAGGGCAGGAGAATGGTTTGAGAAATGCTGTGTAGAGATGAAGGAGAAACAGCAGAGTGAGAGCGCATGGGGCAGGGAAGGCACCTGTGAAGAGAACAGCAGCAGCAGCAGGCTACACATGACCTTTGTATCAGCATTCTGCTTAGAGTCACCAACTGTCACAGTTTTGTCTTCATGAAAGCAACAATTCCGTGTTTCAGGGCAGGCTGCTGAGTGCAGGCTCACTAAGTCTCTGAGACTGGGCTCAAATATCCCTGCCTAGAGAGGATTCTGACTAATTTCTGGGAAATAGAAACAACGCATCACCTTCCGTTCCATTCACCTGCTTGGATTTCACAAGTAGTGGTTATTTTACATATCACCCACGTATCTGAATGCTTATTTTATACATCTATATGCATATGTGCATCCATAAATATGTGCAAGTATAAATACTTGCCAATAGAATATATGCATCTCAAGGGGAGGGTACTTTCCCTATTATGTTCAGCACTCTGCCCAGAATATAGAACACAGCCTAGCACATAGTCAATAAATAATTCTTGGATATTGAATAGGGGAGCATGAGCCAGTGGATTTGAAAAGTGAGCCAAGTCCTGAATAGCACCCTGTGCATTTTCAAATGATATGTAGGCTTTTCTAACTGCTGAATAAAAATCAAGTGTGAATAAAATTGAACCCAGAGTGTATCTGAATGTGACCTTTCAGGTTGGGAATACTGCAGGTGTTTAAGGAACCAACATGAAATGCAGCTCATTTTTGGAAAATAAAAAGCTTCATTTCAATCCATGTACAAGGGCTTCCTATTTCTTGGCTCCAGTAAGTGGAGAAATAACTGTGGGATAATAAATCCCAGTGACAGGTGCTAATGGGAATTAAGCATGCAAATCCCCTTCATATCCCTCCAGAAATCTACACCAAGAAAAGTATGCTATTTAGCGAGTGGGCTGCTTAGTAATAATAGTATTTACTCTAAACCACTGTGGAAAAAAAGTTTCCAGTGCATGGCTTAAATAAAATGAACTGAGCATATATTTTCATTGCAGAAATACTTTCTCTCATTTTTTAATCTGTCCTTGTACTTGATTCTTCACATTTTTGTGCTTTTATGGCTGTCTAAAAATATTTCTCTGTAGTGGCAATATTATTAACTGGCTACAAAGAAACGGGATTTTACCCAGTAAATAGGATGAAAGTAAGGAAAACTTTCTTTAAACAGGGATGGGGATGCTCTTGGAGACCTACTGCAACCTGATTGATAGATACACCTCAAGCAAGGGAGGCCAGATGGCCCTTACTCATCTGGTTCAATCCCCCTTCTCTTCCTGGACCCAGAGAAACACTTAGTCTCTCTGGATCTTTGTTCTTTTTGTTATTATATTAAGCAAGACCCTTTACAAATGAAAACAACTGAACCTACTCTGCCTCTTTTAAAAAGTAATGTTTTATCAAAAGGTGTGGTGGGGGGCAAATGTCTGTACTTCTAATAGTTAACATTTATGAATTAATTGCTGTGTTCAGGTGATAATTCTAAACTCTTTGAGTACTATCTCACTTATCACACTGGATATTAAATCATAAAGTACCACTGTTGTCTTAGTCCAAAATACTAAAAATGGGAATACGTGAGAAACACAAACGTATCTCCCTATATTTGTGAAGGCATTGCTGGCAACTGTGAGTTTCTTCTTGCTGAGTTATATAATGAATGGCTAAAGACAGTGAGAGGTTTGAGAGAGCAGAAGGAATTGGGCCTCTTATCCTTTTATAAGGAACCCATTTCCACACAGATAAACCTCCTCATGTGATAACTTAGTGCATTTATGAGGACAGTGCACCATGACTCAGTTACCTTTTGGAAGGCACCTTTGACTCAATACTACAGGGGAGGGCATCAAGTGTCCCATATGTGAACTTTTGGATCACATGGAAACCTGGGAGTCATTGTTTTTATACAGAAGGAAGCTGAGTGGATAAGCAATACAGTTAGTATTTCTAATGCTTGTCAGATTTCAGGGATCACATTCTAGTCCCAAGATCTTACATTATCACTAACAGCATTGATTATTATCCCCTTATCCCAGACCTATTTTGACTTCCCATGAAGATTTGTGGTTGAGGTGCAAGGAGCCTTGGAAATTCCAGGTTTATAGTAATTTTATCATTTTCAAAATCAACATAAAAAGCAACTCTATTCTTACCTGGCCAACAAAATCCAGGAAGCATACACTTGATCTGTTTGACCAAGGCAATCACTACAACTAGAGGATTGAACTAAAT